TTCTGTGCTCTTTCGACGGGACATAATTACGAGTGTCAATATATTCATTGTCTTTAAAAAGAAGTTAAGTGACTCTGATAGGGTGGAACTATGTCGAGACACCATAGACCTAAAATAAATATAATCTTCATTCTTGAAATGGCGTGCGCGAGTCACAGATCGGCTAGAAGTCAAAATTTTGGTGCAACAAAAATCTATCCTGGTTGGGCTTTAGGCGAGTCATGAACCCGCTTCTGTCAAAAGGCAAATTGGTTTTGAAGCGGGTGCGAAGCTGTAACATCTTCCATGTAGAACGTGGGAATGTCTTAAATCGGTATCAATGGTATTGCTTGGTGTCTCGAGCAGAGCACAGGTGACAAAAGCAGTAGGGCTTAGGATACAGAGATTGTATATTGTGGTGTCCAAAGTGTATCTGCCTTTAGAACTCTATCTATTTTAGTACCTCTAGCGGGACGGTAAAGAACAGATGTTATGTTTTGTCTCGTACACCTTTGCTTGTGAATAGTGGGAGCGACGGGTGCTGAAACTCTAAATGAGAAGGCGTGGAGTTGAAGGGCAACTGTCAGTCAAGAGTTAAAGGCTATGCTTTGAGATAAAAAAGATGGTTCGTCCTTGTCACAATGTGACGATACTGCTAAGTCGGAACCCCCCTATGATCAGACCATTGTGCGGAGCAGTAAAACTCCACAGGTAAATTCTAAGCAAATTACTCAGTAGTTTAAGTCACCTGGGATAGTCCTGGTTGTTGTAAGCCTTCCATCACTACCTCCAGCAGAAGCTACTTTGATGTGAAAGTAATCATCCTGCAGGACGTGTACATAGAATTACAAGACGGTGAGATCATGAAATGGCCAAGGAAGGAGCTGGGCTTGTCAACTGTAAGATATAGGTATGTCGGAAAAGAAGGTGTGAAGAGAATACAGTTGAAGAGCATGGATTGCAGTGAGTGGGAGAACGATGCTCAGTGAATTTCCGAATTCTTTGTTAAAGGAATTTCACTTCGTGGCACTTTTCTTTCATGTTAACCCCGGAGAAGATGACGCTTAATGAAAGCGATTTGGTTAACAAATCAAATAGTTCAGCGAGGGACAATTTCTTTTTCAAAGCAGAACAAGTTACGACATTGACGCTTACTTTCATGTAGAGCGCGAAGCGGATTTGACAGAAACAAAGCACAACTTTTTACCCGGCGCAAAATTTCGATTGCAAAATGCTAACGGCAAGTGGCGAATTGTGCAAGCTTAAGATAAGGTAAATGCTGCCAAATTTCATGCGCAAATGCCACTTTATTGAAGAAATATGCTACATCAGCATGATCAATTGCACTTTTTCAGTGGTTTTCGGTCTAGTGGATGCTTTGTATCAACTACTAAAGAGAGAAAGTAAAAGCCCCTTAATTGTGAAGAGTATATCTAGCAGGATACTATAGGGGTGACTGGTTTTGCCACAGCGACTGTTACTTACCAGTAACATTCAATTATCTGTTGACACAGCTCTTTGGGCTACATCATGGCGACGCACAGCCCGATTATGGCGATTTGCTAGGCAATAGTCTCGCAAAGATTTTATGTTAATCACTTCTAACGTGCCCCTTTCAAAATTCCATGCTAGTCGCTAATCACACTAAGCAGAAATTGAGCAACTAGTGCGCCTAATATTTCACTCGACTCTCTGAGCTTTACCGTACCTATTCTTTTGATCGTACTTACCCCAGATATTCGTATTTCTCAAGTGCCTCAGATTAGACTAAACAACAAGCTCTCGCTACAAAGCTGATTTCTCGACCAACGCGCTAAAAAAGGAATTTTTGACGATCACGACGAGATGTTTTCTGATGAAAACACTGCCGCTGATTGTCCGAGACGTGACCCATTCCTTCCGTTCTCACCCGGCGATAGACGGCATAGCTGTTCGTCAAGGTGGAGGCGGTCACTGCACAGCTTCACACTACCTCCCCCACTGCACGATTTTAGATTAATTGCCCTTTTGAGTTGGTGAGTGTAAAGTTTAGAGAAGATATCCCGCCAAAGATCCACGACGACGTCCAGCCTGTTATAAATAACTGAGTCTGGCTCAAAAAGCCCAGCTTCCTCAATGCAAGCGCAAAAGTCACGCCGGATAGTTTCAAATCATCTTGTAATGATGATCTAACGATCTTCAAAGTTGCATACCGCGTAGTCTCCACACCTCTTTGCGTGCGAGCCTCCCGCTCATGCCCAGAGAGAAACAAGCGCAATAAGTCAGTGGGTGAGTGCTTTGCGAGCCCACAAATCATCACCCCAAAATAACATTTTGCGCTTGAAGCAACGACGGTTGCTGAAGCCCAAAATCTGTGAAGCTAGCCAACATGACGCTGAATAAATAATTTAATTTACGTATGAATTGCCAACGAGTGCCACCCCCACTGACACCAGACTCAGCCCGTAGCAGTTTAAATGCCACACAGCGGTTTGCCGGACCGTTTACACAAAAAAATTTGAACTTATCCAGGTGTGCAATGCGGTATTCAGCGCGGATTTGATAATTGGGTGCGATTTGCTTCAGCAGCGCAATCACCACCCGAGTCATTTGGATTGTATCCTTCGCAACGCTTTTCACGCACTTATCTCACCATCGCATTGCGGATGATTTGTAATCGACAAAATCACCCGGTACCGAGCACCTTTAACAATGTTAATCTACACTTCGGTGTAAAGAGCGGATTTGTTTTCGATTCACTGAAAACGCGCAAGCGGTATTTGTGTCATATGCTGTTGAAGAACAGCTTGACTGTTTTTCTACCGACCACAGTATTGCAATAGCAGTGGGTTAGGCTATCTGACCCAGACGTCTCATACAAAACTGCAATACGGCTCACCGAACGTGTCTGTCAAAAGGCCGAGATCAAGGCGATTGTGACGAGCTACAAGGACTCTGCCAGGTCCGGCAGACTGACCAAGGATGCCACCGCATGAGGTGAGTATATAGCACGCTGAAACGTTTCACAAATGCGCACATGATTGCTTACTCGCTTATACACGTTGGCCATCTATACATTGCGCCACCGAGCGGTGCGTTTAATCTTCCGATTTGGCCACCCAAAAGGGTAATGTGTGCCTCGTACACTATTTTGTCATTTTTTTTGAGAAAATTATTATGAGACATCACTATACGCCAAATGTCATTAGGACCAGTGCCGTGATGCGGCAAAATTTGGGATAAAGCATAGCCGTACAAGCGTGCAACTGTGCGCTTAAATAGAGTAACATTTGAGTTCTCAAAGCTTATGCTTTCCAAAGCTATACACAGCGAAACGCATGCTTCGTCTGGCCCGCACGCTGTCCCTATCGCCTTGTAAATTGGTAGAACGGCAGATTTACTAAGAGAATATAGCAATTTAAACTATATATGTCATTATTCTAGAGTATAATTTAGATATTAATTTTTGATGTAAAAATCTTAAAGCAGCGATTTAACAATGTGAGTTCCTCAATATATGCGCTTCTTTTAGGAGCGTATAAATTTAAATTTTGTGTGTTTGCTAACGCGGATTTTGAGAGTGAAAAAGCTTATTCGTTGTTGAGTGCACGGCAAGTCACATGGAGCCTCGCATAAGAAATAAGACTTAAGAGTCCATCGGTCATTGAGAATATATTTTTAAAGTAACTTTCCTGCTGATTTTGCTTAAGGAATTGTTGCTTAGCTATATGAAAATGACCAACTAGAAAATACATGGGAGATGTATCGAGTTATCCGCTTGCTATCGCGATCACGAGAACGCGCGTCTGGCTGTCCAAAAAGTCGGATTGCATTATAAAAATCTAAGTCCAAAAAGTCGGATTGCATTATAAAAGTCAAAAGCTACGCGAGTCCAGTTCGCTGCGTAATGTGGAAGTCAAGATCCCAGTATTTACAAAACTTACCGGAAAAATCGATGTGTAAGCCATTAATTGAAACTTTACGGCTCGTTGTTTGCTCAGACAGCAAACGTTATAGCATGAAGCTTTCGTGATACAAGGTGAAGAAAGAAAATTATAGACGATTTTGAGGAAAGATTATGTGTACAAACATGGTAGAAATGTGGAATAGAAACTGCATATTTACTTCAATAAAATCTGTTGTTACAATTAGGTAATTAACTGGAGAGCAATGTAAACTAGTGGCAACACTAACGTCGTTTTTTGTGGCAGGCACTACGTAAGTAAAAACAAGGACAAGCAGATGTTTATTACGATAATTTGGATCTGGTCAATATTCAAAGCACTTTATCTTACGACCTATTTTTTCTATAACAAACAAATGATGCGTGTTTTTAATTTTTCGTTTTTGTTAAAAGGTGTTCTCTTTGAATATTTCAGATCGCACCAAACTTGACATTCTGGTCAGTTCTGATTACACCTTGCACTTCTTGCGCCATTGTCGACGATTGTTCCTAGTCTGTTAGCTTTATAAAACGCACAGCTTTCGACATCACGTGGAATATTTGCCTGTTACATATAATCTTGAGATGGTAATAAGGGTAGAAAACATCGTCAAACGTGAGGCCAGTGAAATGATGAGGCCAAGTGCATGTGCATATATTAGCCGCATCATTTTCTTAGATAATTTTGTGTACTCTCACGATTAGTAAGCAAATTTTTTAGCCCAGAAGACAAGATTTTAGGAGACTAGAAGTGTAAGGATTGCAAGTTTTATAAATGTTTTTATTTTTCATTAAAATAAAGAAGAGGACGTGACCAAAAGTCAATTCTTGTACACCCCAGAGTGACTCTGCCTTGATTATGGGTTTGCTACTTAACGTTACAAACTCTTCATTCAATCGTACAAGTGGAAGAAGCTAAAAAAAATTATTATTAAATCAATCTCTTAATCACTAATCGACCCGCGTCTTGGACTCGCTGGCAAAAATGCGTCTAGGCTACATATTTTTCGTACTTGCAGCTTTACATATCGCGTCTGTAAGCACAAAGACGGCTGGAGAATACAAACCGATCCTCGAATCGATCCCGGAGGAATCGGAGCTATTCACGAAAAAAGAGGTTAAAGCGCGTTGAAATGCCAAGCGAATTGCTGCCCGATAAAACGCTTCGCAGATTGCTTGCCATTGAAACGCCTCGCCACACGCTGTTTTCAAAACTGCTTGACAAAATTAGTTACACTAAAACGCAATCTGTCAACTGACAGAAAAAAAGTCGCTTTTCATTTTCAAATTTCTTTCGCAATTCACATTCCATTAAACAAGATCTTCCTAGAAAGATGGACTTCAGCAAAAGCAAAAGAAATTAAAATATCAAAGACATCTTTAACTTCAAGTTCAAGAACTTGAAGTTCAAGTAAATATCGAACGGTGTCCATGAAGTCGTGCTGTTTCGCTCTCAAGTTGACTGACACAGGATTTCCACGGAGAATCCATGCCTTGGATTAAGAGCTTATGATGTCTTCAGCTAGCAAAAAGAGCTTGACGCTTTTTTCTGCAAGCGGTTATTCGCTTGATAAGTATCTCGTCGGTGCGTTATATCATTTGTGTCCACTGGTTTTTATGATCTCAAACTAATTTGTTTCTAACAGCGATTTGCACATTACAGAAACTGTGCAAATTTTTGCTCCTTGAAGAAGCAGTAATCCAATCAAAACAATAAAATATTGTATCCGAAACGTCTTGCGGGTGCTTGCTCGAGGCAAGTTGACGATTTGCTACACTTTGTTTTATCAATAAGAAACTCAGATTGGACCTACATAATTTGCCAAAATTCATCTAGCTTTCTCAAACCTCTTTATTTTAAAGTTCGTTTATATTATACTTTGTAGACGTGATGACTTCTCAGCCAACAGCATACACTAATGCACCACCAACACTGATACGATATGGATACAGCACATATAAAATCTTTTGATCAAAGATCAGAAGTGCAAAAGATCGGTCGGGGGACTTTTGAACCCCAAACACCAAGTAACCGCTTTATGACTTCGAACGTTATGGGACCTCCACCAACAAAGTATCTACACAAGAAAAAGCCGAAGAGAAGAACACTTCTAATAGTTTTCTATTTGAAAATGCAAATTGTGTCATTACCTTTCAACAAAATGTATTATAAAAACAATGAATAAAGTATCAAAAACAATTAGATTTCAAATGAGAAAGAAGTTTGTCTTTTATTGTTGTGCCATCACATTTACACCATCAAGATCCTTGAGTTTCTTCTTTGCTCTTTCTCGTTCCCCTTCATCCATGCGATCTCTTGAACGCGTAGTGCCAAGCAATAGGGACGTGAGCGCAGCTGTGTTTGGTGCAATACGACGGGACGGTCCCGCACTCCGCTCTTCATGGTGGTTGTTTCCCTACATCAGTGTATACATGCATTAGTATACCAAACTTGTAACAACTCTCAAATCAGATCTACCTCATTCACTGATAGGTCTTTACTTTTGTTAGCAAAGTCTTGCCTTCTTTTGCGACGACGATTGTTTCTCTGTCTATATGGACTTGGACTACGGCTTTGATCTCTTGTACTACAACTAGAGCGTCGTCCTTGACGCAAATGGTAACTACTACCATCTGAGGATAAAGAGTCACTGTACTCCCTGCTCAAAGATCGTTGTGGACACTTCGGATGGGAGCGGGTAACCATTACGAATGTGAGGATATTGACATTAATCTGATCCAGTATCCTGCAAAATCGAATATCAGGCGACTTGCCACTTTTTATAAGCTCCAACTTCCAATCAGTACTACAACATTTACTGAAGCGTTCGTGACAATTTGAGCTACAAGGTGAAGACTGAATTGGAAAGAAAATTATGGGAAGAGATAAATGGCGATTTCGAGGGTGTACAAACATGATAGAAATGTGACCATTAATCCTGGTAAAGTAAAATAAGATTTACTCCAATAAAATCGTTTGTTACACCTAGGTAATAAACTGGAGAGCAATGTTTACTCATGAAAAGGCTGACGTCGTTATTTTCTTTGTGGCACTACGTTAGTAAAAACAAGGATAGGTTACGATAATTTGATACAGGTCAATTTTCGAAGCAATTTATCTATGACCTACTTTTTTCCTTTACAATCAAATGATGCGCAAAACATCGTGTTTTGATTGTTTTGTTTTTTGTCAAAAAGTCTAATAATTCATATCGCACCAACAGGTCAAAATCGCAAATTTTGATTACTACTACTCACAGTCAAATCCCATAGTCAACCTTTGCTTGACATCACTTTCGCCATACCTACAGCATCCGTGTCATCTCACGTCAAAATGTACTAAACACCGGAGCTATTTGTACCAAAGAATACACAATATCAACTCGATAGTGATAATAGGTCACTCACTCACTTTTTACGACAACAAGTCGCCCTTATGGCGATTTTTTTGCAGCAAAACCAATTGTTCGTAATTATAAGAAATGAAATTTAAGAGACAATCGGGACCAAATACGTATTTTATTGCTTTCAATGGCCACAGAAGATATACAGATTTAGAATTGTCGTAATAAGCATAGATTAGTAATTTTCATAAGTCAGGATGTCACTAAGTGCGAGGCAATCAATTCTGGCACGAAATATCAAATAAGGAAACAAACATCCTATAAAAATTGCTGTCTGAGCAAACAACGAGCCAAATTTTCCACCAATGGCTTACACACCGGTGCCGACTCGCGTAGCTTTTGATTCCTAATCAGTGCAGTCTGACTTCTTGGATAGCCAGACGCGCGTTCTCGGGATCACGATAGCAAGTGGATAACTCGATACTTCTCCCATGCTACCGCGAAGTTGTTTCTGCTTCTTTACCAGCGATGTTTTCGGGAGAACGAGGCTATCAAGTAAATCTTGACTTCAAAATTGTCTTTATCATCATCATTTTCTATCGTCGAGCGAGGATGTTACATTGGCATCATCATTAATTCGTTGTGTCAACTTCATTGTCTGGATAAACTCTAGTTGCGCTACGAATCATTGTAAAGTACTAGAATTAATTTCTTGTCCATTGTGTCTATTTATAATGATCTGATCAGTATTATTTGTCCTTTCTAGTCGGTGTCATTTTCATACAGCTACACAACAATTCCTTGAGCAGAATCAGCAGAAACTTACCCTAAAAATATATGATCAATGACCGATGGACTCCAAGCCTTATTGTTTATGCGAGGCTCTATGTGACTTGCCGTGCACTCAACAAGGAGTAAGTTTCTTCACTCTCAAAATCCGCGTTACACACGTTGTTAATTCGCTAGTTTAAGGTTTTTACATCAAAAATAAATACCTCAATCAAACTCTTGAATAATGTGAGATATAGTTTAAATTGTCATATTCTCATAATAAATCTGCCGTTCTAGAATTCCATGCTAGCCGCTTATCAAATATTGAGCAACCACTGCTCCTTATATTTCGCTCAACTCTCTGTGCTTTACCGTACCTATTCTTTTGATCGTATTTACCCCATATATTTGTTTCTCTCCCGTGGACCAAATTCAACTAAACAACAAGCTCACGCTACAAAACTGATTTCTCGACCAACGCGCTAAAAAGTATTTTTTGACGATAACGACGAGATGTTAACTGATGGAAACACTCCCGCTGATTGTCCGAGACGTGACCAACATCTTCCGTTCTCGCCCGGCGATACACGGCATAGCCGCTCCGCAAGGTAAAGGCGCTCGCTGTACACAGCCTCAGGATATTTAGATTAAGTACCCTTTTGAGTTGGTGAGTGTAAAGTTTGGGTAAGGCATCCCGCCGTAGATCCACGACGATGTCTAGCTTATTACGAATAACTGGGTCTGGTTCAGGAAGCCCAGCTTCTTTAATGCAAGCGCAAGAGTCACGCCGAATAGTTTTCACATCACCTTGTAATGATGGTTTAACGACCTTCAAAGTTGCATACCGCGTAGCTTCCACACGCCTATTCGTGCGAGTCTCCCGTTTATACCCTAAGAGAAACAAGCGCAATAAGTCGGTGGGTAAGCCTTTTCGAACCCACAAATCATCACTCCCCGAAACCACATTTTGCGCTTGGAGCAACGGCGGTTGGATAACTTAAACTCTCTGTGAGATATACTTGGAGTTAGCCAACGTGCCGCTGACTAAATAATCTAATTTGTGTATTTAGTGACAAAACACGCCATATCACCTATTCGAACGCCTTGTAAACCGGCTCCAACGGCGCGAACACCCAATCAGAGCATCTTCACAGGATTGAGTTTGAAATTGACCGTTTCGCAGCGCTTTTGCGAGTGACGCCATGACGCTCAATCTCATCAAAATATAGCCGCTGGGATTTTACCAAATATGGTCGGACTGATGCCAGCAAGTGCCACCCCCACCGACACCAGACCTAACCTGTGGCGGTTTAAATGCCACACAGCGGTTTGCCGAACCATTTTCACAAGATAAGTTTCAGCCTTTTCATATGTGGAATGCGGTATTCAGCGCGGACTTAAGAATCGGGCGCGAGTCGCTCCAGCAGAACAATCACCACATGAGTACTTTGGGTTGTATCCTTCGCAACGCTTTTCACGCATTTATCTCACCATCGCAATTGCGGATAATTTGTTATTGACAAAATTAACCTGGTACCGAGCACCTTTAACAATGGTTGTCTACATTTCGGTGTAAAGCGCGGATCTGGATCCGATTCAATGAATATGAGCAAGCCGTATTGGTATCATACGCAGTTGAAGAACAACTTGACTGTATTTATTAACGACCACCGTATTGTTAACATCAGTGGATTAGGCTTAATGGCCCAAATGTCCCATACCAAACTGCAATACGATTCCCCAAACGCGCCTGTGGAAAGACCAAGAAACAATGGCTATTGTGACGAGCTGCAAGGACTCTGCCAAGTCCGGCAGGATGCCACCACATGCGGTGAGTATTTAGATTGCTGAAACGTTTCACAAATGCGCACAGGATTGCTTACCCGCTTATAAATGTTCTGCCACCACTTTATTGCGCAACCGAGCAGTGCGTTTACTATTTCGATATGGCCACCCAAAACGTTAATGTGTGTCTCGTACACTATTCTGCCATTGAAAAAATTATTATGGGGCAGCACTAGACGCTGAGTGTCATGAGGATCAGTGCCGTGATTTTGGATAAAGAATAGAAGTACAAGCATGCAACCGTGCGCTTAAAAAGAGAAACATGTGATTTCTTAGACTCAATGCTTTTCAAAGCTTTACACAGCAAAACGCATGCTTCGTCTGACCCGCACGCTGCATCTATCGTCTTGTAAATTGGTGACGTCACCATTGTCACACGCGCCAATCATAGTCGGGCACCAAAAAAGCGCACCTTCCACCAATGAAACTCAACCCAGCTTCCAAAAGTATACAAGGCAAAGAAAAAACATTTGCACATTTTCTGTATGAGGTGCGGTGATGACGTAGCCATGTGCAGCAGCGCATAATCTTAGTAGATTACGAAAAATTTAGAGCACGGAGGGTGGATCCTGAACTTGATAAGGGTACACTTTATTGGGTGTTGGAAAAGATGGCCATTGAAGCCGTGAAATAAGTCTTCTGAATCCAAATCGGCTAAGTCTACGCAGTCTGCCATTGCAATAGAGCTTGTTTTACTTTGAGCAAATGCCAATGGGCATGAACGCAAGATCACCTTTGGACCTTGCCAGCCAAAAGCTACTCAAAAGAATCTCCCTGTTTGGGATATTGAGCTGCTTGCCCCAAATCTTTGAGCGGTTTTTAAAAGGTAAGGGAGGGGTCGTGCCATGTCATCATACTTTACCTTTTAGGTGTGCAAGTAGTTGGATAGGCCAGGCCTTAAGTCTTTTGGACAGAGGCACTACCTAATCTACAGTCGCCAATACTTTTTGAGGATCCACCCGCTTTTTCACGCCAGCGATACATTTGTCACCATTGACAAAAGCTTATCTGTTCAACAAATAGTTCCTCGTGCTCTGCGGGACTATTGCCTAGCAAATTGCCATAAACGGGCTGTGCGTCGCCATGATGTATCCCAAAAAGCTGTGTCATCAGATGAATGAAAATTACTGGTTAGTAACAGTCTCTGTGGCAAAACCAGTCATCTCTATGGTATCCTGCTCCAGGTACTCATCACGGTTAGAGGCTTTCACTTCTTCTCGCCAGTAGTTGATACGGACCACTTACTAGACCGAAGTCAATGAAAAAGTGCAATTGATCATGCTGATGTACAGCACATTCCTTCAGTAAAGTGGCATTTGCGCATGAAACGTGGCAGCACTTACCTTATGGTAAGCATGCACAATTTGCCACTTGTCGTTAGCATTTGGACATCGACTTTTTGCGCCGGGTAAGAAGTTGTACTTAATTTTGCCAAATCTGCTTTGCGTTTTGAATGGAAGTAAGCGTCAATGTTTCTACTTGTTTCCGTTTGAATAAAGCAATTGTCCTTCGCTGCACTATTTGGTTCTGTGATACAAGTCGCTTTCATTATACATCATCTTCTCCGGGGTTAACACGAGAGAAAAGTGTTAACATCGTTCTCCCACTCATTGCACTCCATGCCCTTCAACTGTATTCTCTTCACTTTTCCTTTCCGACATATGTATTATCACGGGTGATAAGCTCAGCTCCTTCTTTGGCCATTTCGTGACCTTACCGTCTTGCCATTCTTTGTATGCATCCTGCAGGATGATTAGCTTAACATCAAAATAGCTTCTGCTGACGGTAGTGATGGAAGGCTTAAAATCAACAGGACTACCCCAGGCGACTTAAATTATTGAGTAATTTTTCTTAGAATTGACCCGTGGAGTTTTACAGCTCCGCACGATGAAACTATCATACGGAAGTTCTTA